TTAGGGGGTAAAAGTACTTTAAACTGTATAAATTCAATTGAAAAAAATTGGCCAATCACGAGAAAGTTAGCCTATATAGTAGTTACCCAAATTTTATATGACGTAAGAAGGTAATTACCCTTGACCTAAGAAATGTCCCCACCTTTAATTTTGATCAAATAGCATGACTGATATAGATAATCGCATCAAAAAAAAAACAACCTGGGCACGTGGATGGTAACATCTATAAAAAAAAATTTCATGTGAAGACGAAATAATCGACAATGGCACCACAAAATAATAATTATACTTCTAATCTAGAGGATTCTGCTGATTACAATGTTTCAAATCATGATCAAAACACTGAATCATCTGTAAATCATCGTTCTTCGCCGTCTTCGCTATTTTCTGGAATCAAGTCAGTAGCCTTTGATGTATCATCTTATTGGGCAAAGGTACATATAACAAACTTTTACATTCGTACGTATTATTCAGATGTTTAACATCACTTTGCAATACTAGAAACTTTACGATGCAGTCCTGTTGCCTCGAGACCCAAGAGCTTATTATAAGCATTTACTAGATGTTGCAAGCAATTATGAACAATGGTCTGAAGCAGCAAAAATGTTAGATCAGGTTGAAGGTAAATTAAAAACTGATATTTAATGTAAATAAAATTGCGGTCTTTCGTTTGAATTTATCGACTTTGCTTGCTGCATAAATTTTTTCAAGGGAAAGATCTGTGGAAGAACGATGCAAAATCACCTGACTATGATTATGATCTATTGCAACAACGTCTCCAACAATTAAAAAAAGCACGTAAATCCGGCGATTTATCACATATGACATTTTTATTAAAAACTTCATTGGCAAGAAATTTAGGTGATATGGGTCAACCAAAGGTAAATTGTAGTTTCCTGTAATTTTTTTTTGGTTTGATTCATTTGCCGAGCAGTACATTTATCAAACTTTTATATAGTTATACGCATATACACATATTGGCACGAAAAGATTGATAGAGAGTTATATAGCCGAAGTAGTAAAACAAATGAATATCATATGTGACACAGAATCTGATGATATATCAACTAAAGACAAACTTGAATTCTTTATTAACACGAGGCAATCTTTTGGAAGGACCGCCCTTTTATTGAGTGGAGGCGCTACATTTGGTATGTGGAAATTAGCAATTCATAATTATAACATTGGTTTATAATGTGTAATCGCTGTGAAATAGGGCTTGCACACATTGGAGTGATCAAGTGTCTATATGAATGTAAGCTCTTACCTCGCATCATTTCTGGTGCTTCAAGTGGATCAATTTTTGCTGCTCTCTTATGCACAAAGACGGATGATGAAATTCCCGAAACTCTTAGAACACTTAGTTCTTCTGAATTTCATTTGGTACGAATTCTGCTTTATTTAATTCTATCTGAACATGACGGCTTACAGCTAAAGTTTGCAATTATATAGGAGGTATTTGAAAGATCGTCAGAGCCGGAAACATGGTTGGTGAGAATTAATAGGTTTCTTAAGCAAGGTAACCAAGAAGCTACTAGATCAATTTTATCAAGTGCATGCGCTATAATACATTCACGTTTGTTCAGGTGTATTCTTCGACGCTGATATTTTGAAAGAATGCATGCGCCGCAATATTCCGGATATGACTTTTCAGGTTTTTTATTTATTTATTTTATTTTATTTTATGTTATTTTATTATTTTTTTCTTTTTTTTTCTTCCTTTTATACAATACTCTGGAATAAAAATTTCAAAACTTATCATACGTAGGAAGCATATAACCGAACCCGAAGAATATTAAATATTACTGTAAGCACTTCCACGGTGTATGAAATGCCACGTCTTCTTAACTACCTAACGGCTCCTGATGTGGTAAGCATAAAAGATATACTTCTAATTGAAATGTGCACCATACATCTTATGTGCGCTTACACTATCTACATGTGTATTACATTTGTAATGAAAGTTGATTTGGTCTGCCGTGTAAGTGCCTTTTATGCAAGAGCAAATAGGGAATTTAT